CTTTTTTTTTTTTTTTTTTTTTTTTCAAATTTTGTCATTGATGTACTTCCATATTTGCTGTGTTACTTAAATGAAGTTGAACTAGATTTCACTTTACACTTCCAGTGTAAGCAATTTCCAGTGTGTGTCCCCATACCCTCTTTCTGGCTGCCCGCAGCACTCTGTTGCTGCAGTAGGGACTGGCTGTAGAGAGTGGGCAGGGCGGCAGCCGCGTACTGTTGGATCCCTGAGTAGGCCTGTGTGAGAGCGTCCATGGGCCCGGCCGACCCGTTACTCAGGCCCGTGCTGCCCAGCCCGCCGTTCAGAGCTGCCATACCTGAGAGCATGTGAGCAACTTTACATAAAACCCAACAATAAAGAAAAAAGAAGTGCTCTTACTCGTTAGCATTTGGACTCAGGGTGTGTTTCTACAACAAAGCACAACACGACACACACAAAAACAGACAAAAGACGAAAAACCCAATGAGACATTCGAACAGAAAGACTCAGAAACAGCAGAATCACAAACATCACGCTGGACATTACATCATAAACAGCACCCACTCACACACATATACACACAAACACAAGATAGAAAAGATGCATAATATACTGACCGGTGTATGCAAATGAGGAGCGCGGCCTACACATGCAGACTAATGTCACAATAGCAGCACGAAACGATCACCACGGCGACCCTCAGACACACCGAAACATCTGACCAATCACCTTTTTAACCTCACACAGCGGAAATCTACATCTAATTATCTCATTATTCATGTCAGCAATCTCGGCTGTATTAAAGGGATTGTGGGGAAAACATTAAACTCTTTTAATAAAATACAAATGCATCCTTGGATCCATTAAAGACAGAACCCCTGACTGCTAAAACAGATGCACATGTGCTTCAGGGAGTAACCCCTGTAACTCCAGTCTATGGGAATACATATGTACACACACACACACACACACACAAATTACTGTTCAAAGGTCTGGGTTTGTTAAAATTAAGGTTTAAAAGGTTTTGAAAAAGTTACTTTTGTTTACAAAGGTAAAATATAGTATAGTAACAGTAACACTGTGAAATATTACAATTTGAAATTGTTTTCTATTTTAATTTCTTGTAATTTGTCATTAATTGTCATTTTTCCTTTGATGTAAAAGCAGAAATTTCAGCAGCTGTTACTCTAGAACGTATTCTATTATGCCAATGTTGTGCTCAAGAAAGATTTCTTAGAATCAAACCGAGATTTTTTTCAGGATTCTTTGATGTAGAGAAAGCTCAGAACAGAATTTATTTGTAACACTGTAATCAAATTTAAATCAATTTAATACATCCCTGCTGAATATAATTATTAATTACATAATTATAATTTATTTCTTTAAATATAATCATTATTTATTTCATATACACTGCCTTTACTTTTAGTGGTAACACATCTCAGTACTTAAGAAGGGGTGATAGAGTTGAAATCTTTTTGTCATTAAATGGATATTAGTTTATCAGTTCGATTATCAAATAATCTGTCGATAATTTCTTAAATTAACTGATTAACTGGATGTTCCACATCTTGTTCAAAAACTGACCTTGTGCAAATTGTGGTCTATATAATGCATCAGATACATTATTACAGTATAGAGTAATAAAATAAATATTTTTTCTAGCTATGGCAAAAAAAAAGGGACTGAGAAAAAGACCCTTAAACTAGAGAATCCATTGTGGCAACGCATATTCATAATGTAAAACAACACATCAAATCATGCTACCGTAGAAGCAGTTGTGTTCACGTACTGTACACACAATATTTTTACGTCTTTGTGTGTGTGTGTGTGTGTGTGTGTGTGTGTTTATAAAGACTGATTCATGAGTATTTACTGACTGGCCTTTTGGCTTGACGGCCTGGAAACAATAAATGATGAGCAAAGTGCTTGGACGGCCAGCTCCCTCATTTATCCAGCAATAATTACAATACTGACCTTTTATATTCAATTACACTATACAGCCTCTTAAATGAGCACTGGGAGGGGGTGTGTGTGAGAGAGAGTCATTAGAATTAATTTAAATTGTAGGCGTTCTGTTTGAGAGAGCTTGATTTATAAAACTAGAAACCTGGCTGAAAGGTCACTGGTGGAGATAGAGATTTTGTCCACGTGCTGACATATACACAGGCCGCAGTGATCTTTAGCTCGCCTATTTATACTAATTACATTCCGCAACGCCCATTAGGTACATTCTATTGTAAAATGAGTAGTTTTGGTGTTGAATGCTGATTTGTCAATACAGTGTTCCAGTCGTGCTTAAAATACACAATGTGGTAACAGCTATAATGCGAAGCATCTGTTTACCAGCTTCTGGTGTAGATCACAACACCCACAGAAGACAACTACTAACCCTAAGGGACTGTCGTTTCAAACTCATTAGACTTTTGTTTATAAAAAAAAAAAAAAAAAAAAAAAAAACTGAGCGATTTCTGTCTTTCCAGTGAAAGTCCATTCCACCACAACTCAAGAAATCCATATCATATCAAATATGGTAAAAGGAAGCTCAAACATTCTTGAGGCCAGTGAGGTTTGTTTTTGCTTGTTAAACAAATATGGCTGAGCTTCTGTTTACCATATTTGATGTGTGATATTTATGTGACATTCATATTTGAATGTTTATTTGTGAATAAAAGCCTAAATAAATCGAATTAAAATGTAAAAAAAAAAAAAACTGAGCGATTTCTGTCTTTCCAGTGAAAGTCCATTCCACCACAACTCAAGAAATCCATATCATATCAAATATGGTAAAAGGAAGCTCAAACATTCTTGAGGCCAGTGAGGTTTGTTTTTGCTTGTTAAACAAATATGGCTGAGCTTCTGTTTACCATATTTGATGTGTGATTTTTATGTGACATTCATATTTGAATGTTTATTTGTGATTAAAACCTAAATAAATCGAATTAAAATGTTCTTGTTTCTTCAAAAGACTTGGATTAAACTCTTATGGATTACTTTTAAGTTGCTTATGAAGAAAGACATCTCCCAGGTTTCATTAAAAATGAGTGCTGTCAAACGATTAATCGCGATTAATCGCATCCAAAATAAAAGTTTTTGTTTACATAATATGTGTGTGTGTACTGTGCATATTTATTATGTCTATACAAATACACACACATACAGTATATATTTTGAAAATATTTACATGTTTATATTTATATTATAGATACATATATTTAATATATAAACATAACATATTTTTCTTAAATATATACATGTATGTGTGTGTATTTATATAGACATAATAAATATACACAGTACACACACACATATATTATGTAAACATAGTGTTGTGTTCGATACATCGATACGATGATGTATCGTCACAGAGATTTGACGATACGAATATCGATACAGCTGTCCCTGTATCGATATCGCGGCACGTGCGCTGCAGTGGACCGCGCTTAATTTGAATACAAGAGCAACGTTTTAAACGGAGTAGAAAAGGGCAAAGTTGCTAAAAAAAATAATGAATAGAGCATAATATATAGGCTACAACAAGGTTTAATCTGGCCGCAGACAGAGGAACACAACCGGGGTTGCCTGATATAAAGAGACGTAATCCCCGAAACAGAGCTTCCCACTTGCACAATATGGAAATATCTGCTAAGTGTGTTACTTGTTTTTGTCAACCTGGCAAACTTGTACACGCGCACTCTCTACACTGTGGATAAACGCACTTGCTTTCTGAAAACACCAGTTAGCTTGCAGTTTAGCGAGCTCCACTTCAATAATCTATTATCAGAAAAGTGTAATTTATCAAGTGTTCATTTATGAGAGAGAGCGAGGCTGTGTATGTATAAATTACCACCGTTTTGCCGTGTTTCTCTATTAACAGTGAATCTGTGGTTTTAATTGCTTTAGAAACGATGATGTTACCAGCTCCTTGTTGAGAAAGATAATGTAACTCTTCAGCGATTAAGCTATTTTATTGATAAAATTGCGGGGCAGTGCTAAAAAGAATGTCTGTGCACGCGCGCAGCGTGAGTGACTAAACGTGTGTGCGTCAGGTACAGTGAAGACAGCGCATTAGTTTAGAACTCTTCTAATTTTTATTTTTATTTTTTAAACATGGAGAGTGTGTTGATTTGTGCAATGATAACCTACCAGCAATGTTAAGACGATTTAAATATATTAGAATGAGTACATTACAATATACATTTATTAGAACAAGTACATTATTATTTATGGGCTTAAAAACAAGATGCAAACAATCAGAATATTGTACCTGGTGGGGAGTGCACAATGTAAACATGAAACATATGCCATTACCTATATTGTACTGTGGTACAGTTATGGAGGCCCTTTCGTAATGCAGAGGTCAACTGCCTGCTCTGCCAATAGTTAGCAACAGCCCTATAGTATGCAGTGTTTAATAAACATCTGTTTTACAAAATTCGTCTGAGGTGAAATTCAGTGCCGTCTCATATCGTGATATATATCGTATCATCTGCATCGTGATATGTATCATATCGTGACTTTGCTGGTGATACACAGCCCTAGTAAACAAATACTTTTATTTTGGATGCGATTAATCACGATTAATCGTTTGACAGCACTATTAAAAATACATTTGTGTTTCAAACAAAAGTCTCATGGGTTTAGAATGCCATGGGGGTGATTAAACAGTGACAAAATTAAACATTTTTGGCTAAACTATTCCTTAAAAAAATCACTATTTTGTCATCATTTACTCACCCTCATGCACTTCTCCACCTGTTTGACTTTTGTCTTCTGTAGAACATCTCTTTTTGAATCATGGCGGAATATCCTGTGATGTCCACTTCGCAGGGCACTTACGGTCGAATAGAACAAACGTCTGAAGTGATACGAGATACATACAAAATGTGCAGCGCGGGGGGTCGCGAGGACTGGAATTGAGAACCTAGTCTAGTCTAAAATATTCAAACCCCAAGTAAAAAAGACACATATACACAACACACACACACGATAGCGACAAAACAAGTGCATGTCTATAGAAACACCCAGAGCAATGGTTTAGCGGTGTGTTAGCATGTCTGAATGTGTGGAGAGATGTGTCCGATTGGTGCAAACACACTCACGACTACAAGGGATGGGCTACATTTGTTCTGACTTAGCAAATGGATTTGATCTGATCTGATTTGATTCAATAATGAGGCCTTTTACAAATCACACACACCTAATTTTAATATATCAGCAGGACTCAATGTGAGAAATTCAACCCAACAAACTCTCGCGTAAGCCCAGAGAGATGCCCTTGCTTTAGCCGGTGTAAGTTTAGAGAGTTTAGAGTGAATCTATTAAAAAACATTTGCTATCTCTGTGAGATAGGCATCTCTATGAGCAGTGGGTGGCTGGTATGAGATGATGTTGTATGGATTGGGATGGAGAGGCCGATGGACGGTAGTACTCACTGTTGATGCTACCTGCTAGTGCATTTATGTTATTGAGGCCAACGGTGGCCCCGGCCAAACCCTGCAGTGTCCCCAGAGAACCCAGGGAACCCATCGCACCCACACTGGAGTTAGCTGTGGAACCTGCTGTGAGGAAAGACAGACAGAGCAGGAAGGAGAGACAGGTGGAGATTGGAAGAGAGAAAAAGAGAGATGTTTGAACATACACATACATCGCAGATGATACTGAAATGGTTAAAGATACATATATAAAAGCTTTGGTGGAGGTACACAGAGGGAAGGATGCATGAATGGAAGATTGATTCACTGATAGATGGTAGGGTTGGGTGGCTTTGATGGCAATGTAACATAAAGCAATGTTGTGAATATCGCAATGATTGTATAGCGCAATTTATTAGGCCATTAAGTTCTCTAAATAGGGAATCATTAGACTGATTTTGAAATCCTTCCTGTCCTGTAACTTGTGCATCAAGACAGATTTTTTAATTGTGCGCCCTTGTTTAAACTTTAGAATAAATGCTATTCAAGTTGGTAAGTTAATTTCTATGAATCAGTTCAAACAGTATTCAATTCACGTTTATTTGTATAGCGCTTTTCACGATACAAATCATTGCAAAGCAAAATTTTAGTTTCTACATTATATTTAGGAGTAGCTTATCAGTGGTGACTATGAATGGAGCACGGTTAAAGCCAGACAGTACAACGAATCGAATCAAAACTTGTGATTCAGTTTTATTAATGTATTACGTTTCTTAATTAAATTATTTGTATATATAATAAGTAAATATCCTGTTTATTACAGTGTATAGTTACATACTGGTACATGCAAATGAAAATAAATGTGATTCTTCCTTGTGGGAAGTGTGGAAAATCATGCATTGATTATAAATTATTTTAATGTATTTTTTCTTTTGCATTCAGTATTTATTCAGCATTTAGAATTTACTTTACTACAGCGATTTTTATGATTTAAAAAAAGAAAAACGAATCACCCTATTTTAATGACACTGAACATCATCAAAGGACTAGAAATTATTGTGATTATTTATTTTTTGGCTATATGGTGTAGTCCTAATAAAGTGGATAAGATGGATGGGATGGTCAGATGGATAGATCTATGCATGCATAGTACTTTATTAATTCCTAAAGGGAATCTATTAAAATTACAGAAAAAAAAGACAAGATAGAGACATCAACATCAATAAAGATTATTGCAATCATGAAGATGATAACGACGGCAATGTTTTCAAAAAAGAGAAATAAGATTCAAGCAAAACATCTCTTGAAACAAAAGAACTCTGAAGCATATAAAAGCTTTTCCCTCTGCTTCATTTGCATTTATGCAAGTTTGAAAGAAATTTTCGAGCTTCAAAGCAAGACACAGAGATGCTAATCTAACCGGAGAACCATGTGTCACACTTATAAGTGTCTCCTTGTTTCACATTTCATCTTTTCCAAAATGAATGGAGCACGGTTAAAGCCAAGGAGCACAACAGCTCAACGCCACACATATGGACACACTCTCCCAAACAAGATGATGGTGATGATGATGATGAAGAACGTGAACCATGATGGACGGTACCAAGGAACTACGCACACAAACACACACATACTGTATAAACACGAAATGGTGAACTCGACTACAACAAATGAAGGGACAATGACGCTACGGTGGAAATGATACCGATATCGAAGAGGATAATGATGATGGGACGGCCTCTGGTTACCTGGGCTGGCCAGGGCTCCCAGGGACCCTGTGCTGGAGGTCAGGGCGCTAGCGGTGGACGGGCTGGCTGAGCTCTGTGCTGCAGCCGCTGCTGCTGCTAGAGTGGCCAGATTCTGCAACTGCAGAGCATTCATACCTGAAGAAAGAGAAAGTGTCAATGTGTGCATGTGTGTGTTTGGTGCATGTTAAACTAAAGGAACCACATGTGCTACAGAATGCTCTACACGAGCAAGAGTTAGTAGAGCCGCGTGTAGAGGCGCTTCGTACAGAAGATCCAATGATATGTGTGAGCCGGGGTGCATCTACTCCAAAGGTGACTCTAGATTAGCGTGTTTGGGGCACGGCTACATGCAATGGCCATGATGCCAACACGCTGCGGGAAGTGGCTCGCAGCCAAGGAGGACAGAGATTGGAAGTGGTACAACAGGAAAATGCACAGCATGTGTCGTATATACACGTCAAATGTATATACTCTATACTATGAGGGAGCACGCACACACACAGAGAAAAAAAACACGCACAAGTGACACATCAGACTTCAGAACTACAGTATTTGGATTGGTGAAGAATTATAGGCCCTGTCCCAACTGCCACCCCTCCTATAAGTCCACAATTTGGTGACCAATGCCCCACGATGGTCTGGTAGTCATCCCAAGTGTTGGTTCAGTGAAAGTGTGCAATAAGAGAAGATTGTGAGCACCCATTTGAAAATTAAAAACTATCATGGACTTCACGGACAAGTGACAACCTGATCAAGTACACATCAATGTTTGTCAACTGAGACTGAAAGCAAAGGCTCAAACTAACGGATCGTAGCTATCTGGAAAAAAAATGTCTTTGTTTTTTCCAGTCTTATCCCTTTAGACAGCAGTAGCGTGTAATTTGGATTGGTCAGACAGTGCTCTGGGGACACCACGGTTGTTTGTCCTCCCGATCCACTGAGCAAGCAAGAGAAGTGCATTAAGAGTCTAATTAGCACATCACAGAAGGTGATTAGAGACAGGAAATCTACCTCTAATTGCAAAACAAAGCCCAGGTCAAGACATAAGAGCAGAGATGATTCTTTACAGATCTTGAACAGCAGATTTAAAATCAGCATTAAATGGCTCTCAAGACCCATTCCACTTCCGTAATGTGGCATTTCCGAAAGAAACAAATATTCAACAGTAAAAAGAGAGAAAGAAATGGCCAGAACTTGCAAAAAGTGGTTTCAACATAGGTGGTTTGAAGGAAAGGGTTGAAAAACAAGAGGGATCTGAGATTCCACCCAAAAATGAAAGCAGTTTTAGTTATTACATTATAATGAAATATTATGAAGGCAAAAATGTGTAATTCTTTTGAGTAAATGTTCACAATAAGAAATGTTTAAGGTCAATTAAATAAGTCATCTCTGACTTCATGGTTCAAGACTTCAACCTTGAATAGCATTTAATATAAAAGAAGCTAGAAAAAGCTTCACTGGATGAGAAAGTGCAGTCTTGGGAGGTCAAAGAGGGAGGTTACGACAGAAATGGACTCTGAAATTGAGGGCTTTATGACCACCTTTGTGATTCTGAATAAAGCGGAAAAGGAACCATTTTGAGTTTTTGGCGCACAAGTGTCAAAAAATGGGCATTGAGTATTTGGCACAATGTGAGTTCTGTGGTTGAAAAGGGCACTTCTGCTAGTGTGTGTGTGTGTGTGTGTGTGTGTGTGAGAGAGAGAGAGAGATCCATCCATGCAGTATGTTCACACTCTCAGCGTACTGAGCGGAGAGAGAGGTGTCAGGAAAGAGGTGATGCTGGCTCTCGCTGAATGTTCATCATGTGTAATGGAGCTCCTTATGGCTTGTAACTCCACCCACAGCACAGACACAGCAGATGGCAGCTGTGTATATCGTCTGCCAATCATAGATGGTTGCCAGGCGACAGATGGAGGGGCCCAAAGATTTCACAATTCAGCCGAGAAAAGTCTTCAAATCCTGTTGAGTTTGAGAGCTCCTGTCGATTTGCACTTCAAGCAGTGTCTCAAACAGACTGATATGTTTATCCGGTCATATTGAACAGGTTTCTGGCTTGTGTTTATGCAATGGTCTACTTTGAACTTTTAAAATTTGAATTTTTGGCCATTGTTCCGCTTCAACTGACAGTAGAACAAAAAAGTATAGTGGGATTGATGAGGGATGAGGCAGATCGGATTTAAACCTGCATCTCTTCCATGAACTTCACAGCTCGACATGTCTGTATGCCAGGAGTGTCCAATCCTGCTCCTGGTGGGCAAATGTCCTGCAGAGATGAGCTCCAACCTCCCCCAACACACTTACCTCAAAGTTTCTAGTAATCCTGAAGACCTTGATTAGTTGGTTCAGGCGTGTTTAATTAGGATTACAACTACATTCTACAGGACAGTAGTAATCCAGGAGTAGGGTTGGACACCCCTGTTGTACGCCAACCACTAGGCCATGGCTATGACTACTGTATACTTAGAAGTTTGGTTGAGTTTGGCTCATTTGTGCAATTTGAATATGGCAAATCAAGATGTGTCACACCAAGTTTAGAGTCAACACAGTCAAATGTCATTGGTTGAACCTGGTGAAAAGTCTTTATGTGCCATATTTAAATGTATAACACGTAATGGTTTGGTATCACAGCAAAATGGTTTGGAACAACAAATGAGCAAATTACTGAACTTTAAATTCTGGTTGAATGGTTCCTTTAATCCAGCACGGACACATTGCTGTATATAATCTGTATGTATAATAACAAACTACTTTGTCCATCATGCTTGACCAGTTTCCATTCATTCCCTCAAATCCAAACCAGTTTGATTAAAAGTCTAAACTAATCTGTTTTGGGAGAATATATTGCTTTAATAAAATGAAGTCCAGAAAATTCAATTGTTATGGTAATGTGGGAATTTCTCGCTCTTTAATTGTGCGGTGGCAGCTGCTGCTGGTTTGGCTCGATGTGAACTTCATTCTCGATGAGAGGCTGTCACAGATCCACTAAACTTAAACGAGAGCTTCCAGAACTCTTCATAATGGTAAACAAAAACACCACAGTCCTGCTCACCCTCTCCACAAGAGCCTACATTAATGAGGAAGCCACTCTCTGGTGTGCAAAACTGTTGTCAGGGGGGGAGGCTTTAGGAGATAAAGGCACTCATCCTACACACACTGTAAGCCATTTTGGATGCTAATACATTCTTTTTCTTTCATCCTTAGCAGCTGCAATTAGGCGAGAATGCGTGCTATAAATATTTCATTTTCCTTGAAGGCCTGGCAGCTTGATAAACAGACCACAATTAAGACCTGACAAGAACAGAGACGCACACTGGGAATGTAACGCACAAGACAGCGAAAAAACATTGAAAATGTAAAAAAGAAGGAAAGTGAGCAAAGAAGAACTAAAAATTTTTGTTGCATCTAGCATAATGTTGGAGGCATAAAAACTGTCAAAGAGAGAACAGCATGCACCTATCTAACAGCTGGAGTAAGCATGAGCTCATTGGCAGATGTTGTAAAACACTAATCATATTCCAGAGTGCTAAACCAAGTCACCGTGAAGATAGAATAACATATCATGTTGCTTCGATGAGGAATCTATCTTGAGTTGCTGAATTCTCTGCGGGTTTCTGGTGAATTTGACAGTATTCATGGCATAAACAAACTGTGATAAGTGGCCTATCTGGATAAGGGTACTTTCATTTTTCCTCTTCTTTGAGAACTGCTAAAGTGAAAATGTAAAAAGCTGAGAACATCTGAGGGTTGATGGGGCATATCATCATGATTTGGTCCCCCATAAGCCTCACAGAGCTCAGGCAAAGAGATGTGATTTGATGATGAGACAAATTTCTCTTCCAATAAACAAAAAAGGGGTTGATGCACATCGGAACAGGCGTGGAAAGAATGGCTTTTATGTGATCAATCAAGTCTCAGTTCATCATCAAATTCTGACACACACATACATTTACAAACAGTACAATGTGTCCAGGTGTGCTGCACATTGTATAAAGCCAAGCATGTTGAATCTAAACTCTGAGGCAGGATGAGAATGTTTAGCTGAGCCGAACATCTGCTGATCCTGGATCTGCTCAGGGTTAAGGTGTCAAACTGTTTTTTTTGTTTGTTTTTTTAAATGCAATCCAGAGCTGATTTGAATGGTTTAGTAGGGGTGATGGAAATTTAGTTGCAGAGTTACAATGGGGCTAGTTGGGTTAACAGATCTGAGTTCAGTATCTCACCTGCCATTTGTTGAATACCACTGAAGGCTCCTAGGTTACTGGAGGAGGTCGCTTGTTGAAGCAACTGTGAGAAAAAGAGTGAGAAACAGACCATTAATGTGTAATCACTATTATGTATTGGCTTGTGGTGATGGATATATAAGGATAATGTTTGAAGGAGCTAGTGTTAGCTAAATATAAATGAAACATTGTGGTTTGTTTTCATGTTTCATGTTGTTTGGAGTGAGCAGTCTGTCAACAGTAAAGCAACACAAAAGCCTCTATCTGTTATTTCGAGTTTTTTAGCAACTGGTGTTCCTCAAGTATTAGGATTGGGCCCGCTCTAGTTTTGCGTTAAACAAAATATTTTTGTGTAGTAAATGTATTCATACCATCAAAATCACAGCCAATTAAAATATATTTGATTTCTAATACACAACATATGTGCTGTCTAATGTTAATAGAACTTCTTAGCACAACAAAATGGCTTGTGGCATGGCACATTATTGCGATGCAACTGGCTAGGACAAAAACTCAGTTTAAGGTTTAATTTATTGATTTATTGATATACTTATTGATTTTTCTGTGGCTTTAACACAGAGAGGATAATTAAAATACTATGTTAGAAAGGTAATCAAGCTAAATCAGTTTATATATTTTAGTCAAGAAATAACTCTAACTGTGGACTCTGTGGTCTTTTAAAACAATAATTTGCGATTTACATAACACATACTGCTGAGAGTGAAAACCATGTAAAATATTCAGAGGAACAAAATCATAAAAGACTTGAGGACCACTTCAAGGTATTAGCCTCATACATCGGTGCCAGTGAAAACGGTTATGCTAAGAGTCACCCGTCAGTTCTGTTGGCAGTGTGTTGCTGTCCTGGGCAGTTTCTGCACATGAAAGGGGAGAGGAAAGCAGACTCTAAATGACTCTAGAGGATTAGGATGACATTGAGTTAGACTCCTCAGACTGCTTAAAAGCTAAATGTAACCTCAAAATGACAGGGAAGTGAAAAAAAGGCAGAAAAAGGAGAAGCGGAATAGTGGGAGAGATGGCCCTGTCCCAATGCTCTTGCATAGTCCTTTAAATCCTCACCCACTGTCCTTATTGACTAAAACGCAAGTAAATGTCACCACCATGTTATATCCTCTTTATATTTAGGCGGATGAAGAGGGGGATGAGTGAAACAGGGAATTTACGCATTGTCCTCAACCCAATCCAATTACACAACACAACCCAAGCCGGGTTCTGGAAGTAAAAATCTCTTTCATTTCTCTACAGAGGAAATATGTTTAATAATATGGCATAAACCTTTTAAGACAGACCTAGCATAATTGTTAAAGCCTAGTATATGTTCCTATATTAATGTTATATGTATTATTTATATAATTATAATTAATTAAATTTTTAAACATTTGTTTCATTTTTATTTGATTAGGCCTACATTCTTTGCGATGCATCATGCCATGGGATGAAATGTTGAATTGTGGTGATTGATCTCAGCGTTGGTTGGTTTGGGATCATGGCCTTATTAGGCTTTTTACTATAGATTTTAAAAATGCCAATGAAGAAAACAAATGCGAAAAATACTTTTGAAACCAAGGCTGCTTAAAAACTGTCCCCTCTCTGTCGACCTTTTTGAAAGTAATAAGAAAGCTGGAGCAATTGTAGCCCCTAATGCAGTGGTTCTCATCCTTTTTGACTCTAAGACCCCCCATTGTCCACAACAATATTCATAGACCCCATGACTTTTCCTGCTTGTGATTTACTAGAAAAGGATTAAAGATAAGGATTATTTAAAATATGTTTTCATCACAATTTCTACCAAATAAAATATTTTAGAGTATGGCATAACCAGAAAATTTATATATGCATACATATATATGGTAATAGAGTTATACGATTTTTTTATATTTATATGACTTTTCCAGGGTTATAAATCACACTTTTAAATTCACACTTTTTTTCTAGACAGTGGGAAACTTGGTTATTTTAAGAAACAAAAAACAGTTTTTGAGAGTATGAATTAAAATAAGAATATCTTGATTTTCATGTGTATTAGTTTATTTAAATGCTTGTTTTGTCTTATTTTAAATCATTTCAAGTTTTGAGGCCCCCTTGGACGTTTGATGAGGCCCCCTGGTTAAGAACCACTGTCCTAACAGCTTCTAAATGGCAGCACCACCCTTCACGATTGAGTATGGGGACTGGTTTTGATCAAGGCGTGATCGAAGTTCAACAGATGAGAGATTTGGAAAGGGTTAAGACTGGCTCAGAGAGATCAAGAGAGGAGGGGGCGGGGCAGGTGGGCGGAGACAGTGACTGACTGCGGCGGCTGCGTTGGCTGTGCTGCTGGTTGGCAGGGCTGCGTGGGTGTGTCCTCTTACTGCCAGATACTGCGGGGTGAGGCCAGTCAGGCCGGTCAGGCCGGTCAGGCTGCCCAGGCTGCCCCAGGCAGACGCGCTGTTTAACTGCTGCATCTGCTGCGCCAACTGCTGCTGCAGCCGCCGCTGTTCCTTATCCTTCTGCGTGTCGGCAAACTTCACCACCATGGGGGAGGAGCAGCCCTGTGTGGACAGATTGAAAGTGTAAAAGGAAGAGGGGTAAAAAAAGAGGGAACGCTAAATATCTAAAAGAGCAATGATCATGTGCAGTGGTACTGCATAAACCGATAATGGCACACAAACACACACACAACCGCTGGAGCGACGGGAGTTCTTGGTGAAATGAGAGTTCTGTGCTGTGCTGCTGATTTTATTTCCCAGGAAAGCGATTTCCTGCTTTATAAAACTATTTCATCATCTGTCTGAGAGAGCGAGCGAGATCTCCCACCCCACAGCACTCACTGTACCCTAGACCTGCTGCATTTCTGCTAATCTCTCACGCTTTCTGTCTCTCTCCCCGATGAAAACAAACAAATCTAAACATCATGAGGCTGACCTGTGATGCCCGTTTAACTAAAGACCTGGGGGTCAGAATATAATGAGAAGGGTGTGTGTGCATAGCAAGTGATGTGTTAGTTCTTGAATGGGTTATTCAACCAAAATGTAACATTTCCTCATGATCTACTTACCATTACGTTCCTCGAAAACGTTTTTTTTCACCCACAAAGGCTGAGCAAAATGTCACATACAAAAATCTCTAATATAAAAGGGTCCAAAAGGTACTTTTTACTCCATTCATTCAAAAGGACTCTTTCATTTCTTTCTTTTTTTGCCTATTTTTATTTTGTAATTCCCTTTATTGTCAGTAGTGATTCTCATTAGAGTCTAATTACTAAATTAGAACTAACACAATGCTATTGTTTTATTGAAATCTGCATAAAGACAGATATTTTACAATTGAAATATATACATTTTATTCTCCATTGTGATTCTAATCAGATCCCAATTACTATAATACAGTAATTTACTGTAGAGGTCGACCGATGTATCGGTTTTGCCGATTAATCGGCACCGATAGTTGATTTCTGGAACTATCGGTTATCGACAAAAATCCATGCTGTTAGTTTTCCGGGTTGTCCATTGCTGGAGCGGCTGAGAAGCTGAGAAGGGTCTGCTGTCATTACATAGTGCGAGAGTGGCCTCTACTGGTTGAAATCACAGAAAGCACGTGCTATTTGTTTAGACACGTGATAATGCACGCTGAACAGAGCGGGAAACTTCAGACGCGGATTTAAATGCAGCCGACAGAACATCCTGCAGTGCCACAGAGCGCCATTCACATAGTTTTCCTTTAAATTACATTATATTGGTCCCGAATCGTTGTTAATGTACATAATGAATTGTGTATTTATTTTCAGGAAAACGTTTGTCTTTCTGTGGCTCTAATAAAGTCTGTGTGCTTCATTTATAGAGCTATAATATAGGTTGCGCTTTCTCTTTCTGTTTGCTCCGTTTTTTTAAACACCGTTTACAACAAACATTTTTTATTCTAGTATGGTTCAGTACTGTTTTTGTTAATAAAGCACTATTTTAGTTTTTGTTCAGTATCAATTTTAAAACTATCGGTTAATTAATCGGTATCGGCCAGTGTGGTCCAACCTAGCTATCGGTATCGGCAAAATCCACTATCGGTCGACCTCTAATTTACTGTAATGTAATTTGCATAAATTGAACAAAAATACTTAATTTAGATATCTTTTTTATCACAATAATGTATTTTATTCATTATGGCAATAAGAACTATGGTAAGGAATTGTGCTTAATTAGCTTTTTTTTCATGATTCAAAACAGCTTTCCTTTTATTTAAGCAAAACATAATTTCTTCATTCTTTCTTAGTTTGGGATAAAATCTGACCTGGGCATGAGATTCACTCAAGATATACCATAACAAAAATGTAAGTCCACACAAACGACTTGCTATATTCAAAGTCTTCTAAAGACTTTGACTGCTTTGTGTGAGGAACAGACCAAAATTTAAATAATCACCTTGCAGATTCATAACAGAATTTTCTCCCTTTTTGACGCAAACACATACGCGCACGGGTCCCTCTAAGCGAGATCCCAATTTCGTCGGTCCTCCGACGTGACGTCGAGAGTGACCGACTGAAAGGGAACAGACTTTGTGAATGTAAGAACATTCAGTAAGAACATTCAGCAACACCATTACATGTATTAATATCAAAGATGTTCCTCAGGCAACAGCAGCTAACGTAGGGCAGCCATATGGAGCCACAAGAGGACGAAAGATTGAGACGAGTGCTTCAAGGCAATTATTCTACATCTCTGTCTCTTGTCTCTACCTTACAGGTGCTGATTCACTCTGATAAATCACTCTACCGCTTTTATTGTGCTCCCTCTGAACTGCAAACCACAGTCTGACAAAAAATATGAAAGATCACAGACCCTCTAGAACGTGAGGGTGTGTGTGTGTGTGTGTGTGTGTGTGTGTGTGTGTGTGTGCGTGTGTGCGAAAGAGAACATTTTAGAGTTTCTTGGATGTGAAGCACCTCACATCCACCCGGAGCGTTCTACAGTGTTCCTTCCATTCGGAGAGCTGATTTTCTTATTTCTGCTCTCAGACAGAGGGGAGGTAAAAATAAAACTTGTAAGGGGTGGAAAAAAGGAGATTTAACTCAAGCTGTCAATCGAGTGGTGCCATCGCCGTGTGAACATCGCAAGAGACTAAAAAATCTCATTACTCACTGGCTCTGTCTCAGTCTTTCTCTCCTACACACAAATACTCTCCACAGGCCTCGACTAATGTGAAAGTAGTAGAATGAAGCTAAAATGTTTGCTTAAGTTAACACTGTTAAAATCGGTAACACTTGACCGTGGTTAATCTTACAAAAACATGCCCAGTTCACATTTGCCCCCTTAAAAAAAGACAGATTGTGTGTGTTTTAGTTGATCACTTGGGTTCTTGTTTTATGTTTTTTCTTTTCTATGTTAATCGTACAACACTTTGGTCTAGATTTATACATTCCTTATTGAGAATGAATACATGAATACTATTTATATATACAGTATAACAAAATATGTATAGAGGTAATATTGTTTTATAAATAAATTTAAATTTGTAAGTAACACAGTAATTTGTTGTAATGTCCTACTTCTGATATAAATAAAAGCAAAACACTGTATTACAGTACATATTAAATAAAATAAAACACTAATAAAATTACACAATTTTAAAATTTAAATAAGCATATATTGAAGCCACTACACCATAAAAAAAAAATATATATATATATGCATCTGTGGAGAGACACACATACACACACACCACAAAAAACACAGTAACGCAATCACAGCGATAAAAAGAGACAAACATATCAAACGAGATGAATGTCCAGGGAGACTAGTGCAAACCACAGCACTGAAAACAACCCTTTGAGACGAAACTAAAGCAGCAAGGCCACTCGCAACTATATGCGTGTACCCAGGCGCATGCATGACCACCCTCTGTCATATCCGTTTTCATTAAGTCATGACATTCAGAAAGGCCACAAATTCCTCGGTGAGAGGGGAGGGTGGAGAGATGGCCGAAAACAACCAACAACCCAACACAATTTACTCACTCACTCATCTAAACTGGGTAATTACTTTCCCTTTGCGGAAAAGATGTAGCTTACGGGGGGTGAGGGGTATCATTTATACGTGGTCAGCTAGATGAAGGATGAATATATTTGTAAATGTAGCCACAAATTGATAATTGCAGGCCTTCAGAGGCTAGAGAAAACAGCTTACATCCATTAGTGTCAGTGATTTCTGATTGGTTAAAAGGTGGTCTTTAAAACCGGGGCATTGGTGTTAAAAACTGAGTATATGCAAGGGTTAACTTAACATGCAATGGGAAATTTGTGGAGTGGTGACATGCGTGCACAAAACTAAAGTCGCACACACACAGTCAAATAGTTAGGGCCCTGTATTAGACAGCTGTCAGCACCCTCTGATTTGGTGTGTCAGAGCTTTGACATTTTGACAGGCACTGAGACGGACTGCTAAACTCTCCGGCATTCTACAGGGCAATCACAATGCAAGGCCCATCGGCGGGCTGCTATTAAAGCGTCTGTGACATCGTCACAGTGAGATCCATCCACTAAAGGCAGACTGGTTGCGTGGTGGGTGCGGGTGGGGGGGGTGGGGTAGGGGGGCGGCTGGTTCTTGGTTTGACCCGTTTGGCCAGGGGTGGTTTTGGCAATGCCTGACAGTAATAACAGGGAGCGGAGAGGCACTTAATATGGTGTTGAAAGTTCTGTAGAAAAGTGAGTGACTGAGGGAAAATTCTGTTTGAAAAAGTGTCATCTTGTTTCACCTAAGAACTTTATAGGGAAAATAATAGAATCTGTACAAGGTAGTAATACTGGCCGCCAATTCAAACAGAAATGAGAGAGAAGAAGATAGAGAGAGCAAGAGAGGCTCTGTTCTTAAATCAAGTGAGCTGCTTTACTGTCTACTTGCCTAGGAGCATCCTAAGTGAAATTAATGTTAGCATATTGTTAAAGGGATAGTTCACCTTCAGCTGCTGGTCCCCATAGTGTTCTCTTTCATAGTGTTTTCTTTCTTCTTCTTTTTCTCCATACTATGGAAGTCAATGGGGACCAGCAACTGAAGGTGCACTATCCCTTTAACAACAAGCTACAAGCAACACGCCTTTAACAATAAGCTAACAAAGCGAAACAAAGCAGATATGTACACATTAGCATTATGCTAAGCAAACAACAATACTCTGGTCACATTAGCAAAACTGCATTGTCCATTATCAACAGTGCAGAAACTAGCTCAGTTTCAAACTCAGCAGCTTTATATTGGATAATGCGACAGATTTGTATGTGTTCAAAGTTTAACAAACTGGAATCTAATGTGAAAGCCAGACTCAACTCACAGTTGACTTATAATAGAGTTTTACATAAGAATGTTGCTAAGCTAACAGCACAACACTCTAATGAACAAAAACAAAACTAGGTAAAATAGTTCATTTTAATTAGACAGAACTATTTTAGTACTGAACATATATAAGCTAACAAAAACACTCCAATAAGTAAGCAAAAATTAAAATGGTTGCTTTTAATTAGAAATAACTGTTTTTATTGATGCTATGTGATGAATTATATTATTACTTACTGCATTGCATGCCATCTTGGAAGGATTTTCTTCCACTGTGACACAATGCAATATGAAATTGTCTTCTCAAAGTGTACATTACAATTTGGTCAGAAGAAAGTTATAAGGACGACCAAAAGAAAGCATCTTTTGGAACAATTTTTGCAGCGGGAGTGCTCCCTTAAAACGCTGCCTACGTAGGCAGCTCACTATGTTTTGGAACAGAGCAGAGATAGAGTGAGAGAGCGAGAGAGAGAGAGAGAGAGAGAGAGAGAGAGAGAGAAGACAAGACAAGGGTACAGTACCTCCATGGTTTGAGACTGATGCATGGCTTTGATTGCATTCTGTGCCATAGCCCTGGTAGAAAACGTGACAAACGCACATCCTGCAGGAGGGAGGGGAGGAACGTGGGAGGGAGGAGAGGAGAGGAAGGAGGAGAGACGAGAGAGAAACAAAACAAGACAAAAGGGTTGGACAGGTTGTTATAAAGCCAAAAAACAAAGATCGTACAAAGAACACAGCAGACAACAGTGCTATACAGTTGCTAGAATAAAACAACCAACATTCAACATTCAGCTTCAGATAAACATTCAACATTCAACATCTCAAAATACACACTCAACATAATGTCAGCAATGGAACCAGTTCTTTAGTTTCGATGGTGTGATGGCTTGGAAATTACAGTATGGGGTTAGAATGTGCGGCTAGTTTTAACACACACACACACACACGCATACATTGTTTCTACCTGTAGGGTTACTGTAATACCAAAATTACAATTGTTCATTCCAGTACCAGTAAAATTCCAATACCAGTAAAATTGATTGATTCTTGATTTTAATTTTGATACTACAACAAAAACTAACATAACTGATAACTGAACATACTTTATTTAAAAACTTAAACAATAATATAAATAATAAATTAAAGGTTTAGTTCATCCAAAAATTAAACTCTGTCTTGGATTACTTTTACGATGTTGTTATGAACTTCTTGAAGCTCGAAAGTTTTGACAGAATTCTGACAGAGAAATCTCTCAGGTTTGATTAAAAAGTATTTGTGTATCGAAGATGAACGAACGTCTGAACAACATCAGTTTGAGTAAATTATGACAGTTTTCATTTTTGGGGGGTGAACTATCCTTTTAGATTAAAACAATGATTTAAAAAGAAATTTAATTAAAACATGAAATTTAATGCTTCAAATTAGTAATGGAATTATTCAGGCAAACAAAGAAACAAATCAAGATCAGTGAGTGATTTTCTCTTTTGTTCTGATCATTATTACTGTTTATTAATATTATCAAAATAGTGGCACATCTCATAAGCTGAATTTAAACTGCAAGGCCAAATATATGCACAATATTTTCATACCAAATTATTTTACTTGTACCTGTACTATTGATATCCCCACCAACCCAGTTTCATAAATTTTCGGTCTTTTCATAAATATGTACAAACACACCCAATTTCTTTCTTTTTAAACAACTGTAATCAAGGCAAACAGTCCCTGGAGGGGAGTGTGTGTTTCGGGAGAGCTTGCAATGGCATCTGGGACAAGAAGTCTTGGAACCGAAGCGGAGCAAGCGGGAGCCAGAAGAACAGGCCATATGGAGGCATGCTGGGGGAAAACGCAGCCCTGTTTGAAGAGCTCTACTCTACTGTGCAGTCCAGCACATTTATACATATGGAGGACACACACGCGCATGCATGGGCATTCTAGTTAATAGGTTAACTACTTCTCACATGTCTACATATGCGAATACGCTGAGATAGAAGGGAAAGAATGGAGGAGAGGAAAGAACAAAGACTTGACGTCCTGTCTTTTCGTAAATGGTTCCTTTTAAATTCGGAAACTCTATTTTACAATGTGATCTGTGTCCAAATGTTGTTGGTCAGAATAACATGGACATAATGGGCAATTTCATATTACTTTCTCTCTTTTCCTACAGCAACATTCTCATGCTGCCACAAAGAATGATGGGAAATGTAGTTTTTCACACAAACCTGTCAGCTCATAAATTGGCTAAATAAGTAGTACTTTCTGGAAACACTTTAACGTTATTCATGATCCACAGTACATCATTTGCGTACAAAATACAGTAGAGTCAACATTCACAATTACATATGATAAATACCACCACATTTCCACCTTGATTCTTTAAGAAAATTTTTACTTTCCCATAGGGATGGGCGATATCTTATCGTTTGCGATATACCGGTAAAAATTCTCCCCACGATAATAATTAGTCTTCCCGCGATAATAATGATAAAATCTAGTTCTTGACATTTCTGTGTGCTACAGTGCGGAGCGACATCGCGGAAGGTGGACATAGCCTATATCGCTAAATGAGGAGCTCGAGCTCCTTTTACAATCTGTAACTGGTTTGGTCAGGGCTGTACAGTCTACAAAAAAATCGGTCTGAATAAATGTACTACAGTAGCCTAGCACGTGTGCGATACATATTTGGCATGACATTTCAAAATGTCTCACTTTCAACATTTGATATGTTATCTATATTCTATTGTGAATAAAATATAAGTTTATGAGATTTGTAAATTATTCCATTCCTTTTTTACTCACAATTTGTACAGTGTCCCAACTTTTTTGGAATTGGGTTTGTACTTTCTTTATAAACATACCCAAGATTGAAGAACACAGATACACCATATATTTTGTGCAATCATATGTTTATTTTCCTCAAGTTTCATCAGTTAAAATGTCTCCATCTCCGTTGTGCGTTTTATTCAACGATAACTGGATACCTTCCTGGAGCATCGTCAGTAGTATTACTTCTACTATGGATATGTGGAGTTTCTGTGCAAGAGCGCCCTCCGGCTTCCAGTGTGAATTAAACAGTCTTTACTTTACGTGTGTACTCAAAATAGGAAAGAGAATACTTTTCTCTAAAGAAACAGGATTCCCTGAATTATCGTTATTGATATCGTTATCGTAATAAATACCAGAAACATCGTGATATATTTGTAAGCCCATATCGCCCATCCCTACTTTCCCATTAGAAATGAGGACATAGTGGTTCCTCATCTCATAAGTGGTCAAAGAAAAATAAATAATTAAAATTAAAAAAATAAATAATAACAATAAAAAAAAAAACAATTGCATGCATACAAAGTTCTTAGAGTTGGCTTTGTATGTTTTCAGAAAATTTTTTTATTTAAATTTTTTTACATTTTATATGTCACATGGTGTGACGTGGCGTAACCAAATAAAAATAACACTTTTCCTACACTGTAGACATCTTAATCATCGAAAAAAAATAAAAATAATAATGAATAAATATATATATATATACTTTTTTTTTAGGTAAACAGTATTTTTTTTACAAATATCCTTAATTATTAATTCACAAATATTATTTTTGTTTTTGGGGAGTCGCACCACATGACATTTCACAATTTGAACTAACGTTGTTCTGCCATAAAAAGGTCAAAATATACTTTTAATATAACAAAAAAATTTAAAGTTACTCTTCCCAACCCCCTAACCAAAAAATACCAATAGTAATTTTACATTCAGAAATTAAAAGATGCTCCACATAGAAGTGTATTCACTGCATGTTTTAATTGCATTTTAATGTTTTTTTGATTAAAATTAAATGATAGGACAAAAAAGGAGCATTTTACAGCAATAATTCTACACTGCAATGCGATTTTACGACCACACGGTTGCACTGTATATCTGCTGGCACAGTCTACCTGCTCCAGCGGCCATACCTTTATTCTCTTCTTCTCATTAGCATCGCTCTCTTCACTATCGCTCTGATACAACCTCCTTTCTGTCTTCAGAGTGGGTGAATCTGGCCCCGGTGAACCGGAGTGAAAGCAGAATGAAAGCCCGTTTATTTTTATAGTTATTTAATTAGCCTCATCATTAAAGCAGTTTTGGACACTCTAAGGGTGATATTTGTGAGCACTGGCAGGGTGCGAAACTCTAGAGAAACAGTCTCGTAGGGGAGAAACGCGGAAAAGACGTTCTCTTTCAACTCTCAAAGTCCTCGTTTTTGCTGACCTGCGACTACAGAGTTTGTTCACGGTTCGAACGAACTATGATCTGTTGCGATAAGAAGCTGTTAACGATGAGACAGAATGAAAGTACTTCCAAGAAAGCGATTAATTATTCTTATTACGCAGCCCTCTGGTATACTTGATGGTGATTGGTCAATCGCAGCATTCTGGGGTCAATTTATTTTGGCATAATGAGCGCAAAATGGCATAATTGTCAATATTATAATTTCCTCTGCTAGTTCCCCATCTCATAACATCTCATTAAAATTATTTCAGGTCAAATAACTATTTTATGTCCATTTAGTTAATTCGCCGTCAGGTGTTTTACTTATAATAATGAGCAACTGCCTGTACATTTTCCCTCAAATGTGTCATAGTTGTGGCAAAAACACCACAATTAACTGTCAGTGTCATCAAAAGAGAATGAATAAGGGAGACGTGCGATATGGAGGGATGGAGAGAGCAAAATATGAGAGTTTTTTTGAAGAAAGTGGGGTAGCTCCCAGGGCACTGTGCCCACATGTGGCCTGATCTATATTTTATTAATAGTGAAGTTCAATGATGATTGATAGAACGCTTTAATAGCGGCACAAGAGCGCTTTTAAAGTTGTCCTAGTCCGTGGGATTTACCGTACACCTCCTTTACGTACACATTTGCTCATCTATTTATTCATCCAATCCTTTTTTATGGGAGGGGGTGGTCGTTTCTCTCATAGAAGCATTTCAAATATATCTCCAACCACGAGCTCAGAGAATAAAGTTAATCTCCTGTGGAATTAAAATATTCATGAGGACCGGAGAAAAGACGGACTGCTGAGGAGTAACGCGAATTAGCGGAGGATGGAGGGACAACTAGATGAGTGCATGAGGAGGATAAACGAGTGATAAAAGATGGCTGTATTCACATGTCTGTCACAAACAAAAAGCGGTGACAGTTTTGCACTTTCAATGGAGGCCTAAGGGGAAATTGTACAACAGATGCCCCTTTTAAGCGCAATTAAATCACTTTTTTTTTTAGGTAAGGTACAAGTAAAAAATACGGTCAATGTTAATCCACAATGGATCTTAACTTGAATATCCCTTTAATGAAGTATAAAAACACAAGCATGGTAATATATCAAACATGTGCTCCATATAAAGAGTTGTATTCTACACTTGCGTTGCAAGTCCACATATAAAATTAGTTTCTTGCACCAAAACTCCTCATAAAACAGTTTTTATAAGCATTTTCCACACTCTTTATAACTAAACTGGCTGATTTTGCTACTGTACCTTTAAGACCTCTATATTTAAATAAGCCCTGTGATGATTGGCTAAATGTCAAACTGCTGTAGTTCCAACCCGATCTCACAGAATAATGTAAAACGCACTGATGCATTATATTTATGTTTAGAAATCAACCCTAAACATAAATATAACTCCGATAATGCGAAACGAGATTGTAGGAAGTCATACAAATTAGCCCATGCACGATTTGCCAAAATGTACAATAGTTACAAATTGCCAAGAGGTTTTATTGATAGCTCACTCTGTTGTTCGTAAGGAGAGCACAAGCTGCTTAATAATTAATGGGCGGTCAAATGTTAATGAGCTTATGGTTATGATGTCACAGTTGTGACATCCAATCTGTTCACATAAAAAGTGAAAGTCTGTGTAACGCAAAACAATCACTGCCAATCAGGATTGATCTTATTTATTTATTTATACTATTTAGTTACATGGAAAGCTTTATTGGACCAATGAGGTTTCAATGTGGGCGTGGCTATCCAGTGTAATGCTTCATTGCCTCGCAACTGGTTAGCTCACAGTGATAGTTTCACATTTGCTTTGAACATTTTGGAGTAAACATCAAACTTATTTCAAAAGCGCAAGAAAAAAATCATATGTTCCCTTAAAAATGTAAAAACAAATACAGTATATGTGCATGTGTCTCACCTCGGCTGAGTCCGTCTGGTCCCCTCAAGATACGGCACTCCTCGATCTGTCCCAAAGGAGAGAACATGACCCGGATGTCATTCTCGTTGCATTTCTTCGACACCATGCCGATGAACAGCTTTCTGTCCTCCACCGCTGAGAGAAAAGAAGGGTGGAGAAAACAAATGTGACCAACGTGTGGTAAAAAAGACGTTACGGCTGCATGTGATCAGTGTCTCATTAGCACATCAAGCCCAGACACACACGACCGCAAATTTTCGCTTGGTTCTCTTTGATCTTTTCTTTCAATGACCTGAGTGCTCTCTTTTGCTCGTAATCTGCATGTGCTGCCTTCTAGTCCTCCTGGGAAGATCCTATTTACTAGCTCGGAGGCCATAATTATGATGTGATGTGCGTTTATGTTCGAAATAAAATGGATGCGTTGGGCAATTTAATTTTTATTTCTCTCTTTTTCAGTTCACCATAAAGACAGGAAGCTCTATTAGCGCTAATGCACCAAAATGAAGTGGAAAAGGTGCATTAGGTGTGTAACTGATGCTTTATTTATGTATTTTATCATTCTTGTGCTGCCATAGAGAATGATGGGAAATGTAGTTTTGATGCTCACCTCATCGGCTAAATGAGTAGTGTTTTCTGGCATGCTGTATTGCTATTTTTCATCAATAATAGATCAGATGTGTACATTGAACATATGGAATACTCCACAAATATCTGTGGAACTGGAACTGTATGTAATCTTTTCGCAAATTTGATTTTGCATTCAGCTTACAAAACACTCAGCTCAATTTAACGTTACAATATAATCTTGCAAATCGTATTTCCAGCTTAAATAAATAAATGAACAAATAGATAAATTGCAACTTCATATAAATGACTTCAAATAAATACTTGCAACTTCATATCCCCAAGTTGTGACTTTAAATCTTATAATATGACTTTGTGTATTAATCATAGATTAATCATGCATCGTTTTACTAAATTCAAAGACTTTTAAACTAGTAAATAACAAATAAAATAAAACAAAACTTCATATCCACCAACTGTGATTTTTAATCTTACAGCGTTAATGTATTACTTATTTTTAACATTATATCACAGTGACCATAATTCAATTTTTAGACATAAAAATGAGTTTCCATATAGTAAATAACATTCCTACAACTTGCAGGCAGTGAGATAATGTGCAAACCTTCAGGTGTTTCTAATCAGAATTGATTGGCATAACGGGAAGAGGAGTGAACAAGAAGGAAATATTGAAAATACATAGACAAAACAATGAAATCATATATTCAGTGACGGTTTGCAGTTTTGTGTTTGTGTATGCTTGAGTGAGAGGGAGAGAGAGAGAGAGAGAGAGAGAGACAGCAAGAGAGAGGCAACTGTAATCCAATTTTTTTTAATGAAGAATGTGTCAGCTCTTACCGCTGGGCGGCCGATAAGCAAGCCGCTGCACTCTGGGAAATCGATAGCTCACTTGTTTATTTTGCTGTTTGAATTGTTTGCGCATTTAACAGTGACAGGATGAGCCAGCGATAAGTGCTGTTACAAAGGCTTCGCCTTTACGCACACACAGTGTCATATCAGAAGATTAACTGCACACACACACACACACACACACACACACACACTCACACAGACACACACACACACACACACAGACACACACACACAC